GGCCCGCAGAAAAGTTATATAGCCATAAAACGCTTCCTGGGCTTCGTGGCCAATTTGAAAGAAAAATTAATTAACGCGAAGAAAAAAGGGGCGCATTCAATAGCGTAAACAGGCGTCCATGTCATAAACCCAATCCCTAACAATTTCCATGGAAAAGTTACACCATCTCAACGTGAAAATTGTCAAACAACAGAGAGATATATTCAACATGTTGGCTGTTGCACGCTGAAACGCCGTTGCGTGCGCGTAAGCTGCTTATTTGCATGAGCCGAGTTCGAAAATGATTCGAAATCCCGTTTGGAAAACTTCTAAACCCGGAACACTTCTTTCTCCACGGCCCTACAAGATATCTGAAAGTATGAAAATTTAGTGTAACTGCGGCTTCTGTCCCGGCCAACCACAGGGCTTTCTGCATTGGGAGAAAAATATTAGGCATAAAAAATCACCAACACTATAACAGGACGGTGGTGTGCAGCCACAGTTCATGGATGGATTATCTTAACCATTGCAATAATTTTCGTTGACGTGTCGGGGCTTAGCTTCGAAAGCGTACACCGTCGTTCATTGCGGACCAACGAATTTTTAGCTTTCGTTCCTGGATCGAGCTCGTATAAATGCCGATGGTGTAAATCGCGATCGTTTTTGGCATTCGAAAGCTCGACGCGCACGTTTGAAAATATTTTTGTCACGGGTCTAACGCAACGATTCGTATACGAGGGATGAAAGGATTCCCCTATCGGTGAATAATCCGTAATGTTCAATTATTTCCGATCAATTTTAAGCACATTCAATCGAGCTTCGATGATCCTGCCTTAATATGTTTGATTGTTCGTTTCATCGACAGCCCGCGGTACTTTTTAAGGTTTCTATACTTTCTGTTTCAATTTCAATTTTTTTTTAATAACTTTTCGTGCGTTTATTCACGGTAATATTCCGATTATTACTCATATTTGCAGCAGTTGCGTCTGACTATTACAGTACACTGACTACTAGGAGTCGACGTCTGACCGCAGCGTTGACACAAACCACTGTTTCAGTGGAAACAGACTCAATTGGATGTATCTTTCATTTCACTGGCCTTTGAAGAAAATTTTGTGATAGAACACCACTAATTTCTATTTAACAATACACAGTACGTCAATGGAATATTTTGGAAACGTAACTTTCGCTGAAATGTGCCTTAGAAGTGTGCTTTTTATTTGAGGTTATGTTTGAATCGAAACATTGATTCGTGATATCTAACGGATGAATTTTTCGATTTTCGTGGGATTTGCGATCTACGATACAATACGCGGCTGAAAAAATGTATAGTGTGTCGTTTAAAAAAATCCAACAGACCTTGAAATTACCTTGGCGCTTGTACTTAGCGAAGTTACACCTGCACGTACTATTCCCCTTAATCTCGTTTAATCCTCCGAAAGGAGGTTTTCCAATTCCACGTAGCTTTCACAATATTAGCAATTGTAGATTAAAATGGGTCACTCTGTATATGTACATCAGTAGCAGATAACTACTTTCTTTAATAAGTTTCTTTCAGTAAGTTTATATTGTCTTATCCTTTCTCTCACGGCGAAAACGTAAGTTACAACATAGTAAATAAGAAGAAACTCATTTCTATACGCCCAGGAAATAACTTAAAAAAAAAAAAAAAAATAAAGCTGATCGTTTTTGGGAAATGCAAGTTGGAAAAAATGTGAGCGTTAAGGGGTTGACTGTTACCGAAACATTGTCGAGAAATCTTCAGAATATTCGAAATTTCTTTCGTCGAATTTCTATAGGAAGAAGAAAAAAAAATGGACGAACACCGTTACCATCGGTCGGTCAAAAGAATTCGTTACATGTCACGTTGCGCTTAAAGACGATTGTGCCAGTTGAAAACGCGAGTCTGTATGTTATTGCCACGGTGGAGTACGCTCGCATTAATCAGCCAGCGAAGGTGGACGCGTACGCTTGGCACTGACGTGACTGGTCATAAATCGTCGGTTCGAGTGCAAACGCGATTACACGGCGACGATTATCGAGAGATTCCCGGGAATCAGCCTATTCCTCGGCTGGCGATATCTCCTATACGTACATAAATTTTGCGCCGCCGCGCCGCGCCTGATGCCACGCTGATGAAGGAGAAATCCCGGGGAATCCCGGCAAAATATATCGTGGAAATCGACGCGAACGAGAATATTATTCCCCCGCGATGGAATTTCTTCTTGCTCGTATTTCCTTCCCTCCCCCCTGATACCGACTTAACTTCACCTGTGCTGTGTATTTGTTGCAACTGGACTTCTCTCCGGAATGGAGATGCTCGATTTGAAATTCCAACTCTGGTGAGAACTTCGACTTTCATAGCATACCTTGCAAAAATATTTTTCATTCCTTCTTATCTTGACTCTTCGGCATCGTCCCTTTTTATCTTGAATTTCTAGCAGAATTCGTATGTTCGTCGGTGCTACCATTTCTTGGTTTCTTCTTTTACTTCGCCGTTTGGTAGTGCAGTGAAATAGTAGAAACAAAAAGAATGGTAAAATAGTTAGGGGAAATGAATTAAACTGTTTCCTCCACTGTCGCAGGCTCGGTTCCGAAACAGAGAGGAATGTTTGACAGTTGTTTCACGATGTGTCACACACTGCCCTCTTTAGTTTCGTTGACCTAACCTAACTTGTTTGAACATCCGAGAAAAGTGAGGTTAAAAATAGTAAAAGTATCTCTGAAAACAGTTAGGACAAATAAATTAGACTGTTTCTAAAGTCCTACAGAAGCACAGAGGACGTTCTGAATTTGCTTAAAAGGTGGAAAACATGTGGAGCTGGAAATATTTCGGAATATCCTGAACAATGAAAAATTCGTAGATATAGGACATTTTATCTAAAGAGGGCAGCACTGGCATTAATACAAATTTGTAACTAATACTGTAATATTTAAAAGATTTCACAGTTTACAATCACTCTCAACAGTGATTTAATTTCTTATAGTGAATCCAGGATAGTACAGTAGTGCACACGTAAGCGTCCACATATGCACACCTAAGCGTCCACATATGCACACCTAAGCGTCCACATATGCACACCTAAGCGTCCACATATGCACACCTAAGCGTCCGCATTACACACCTAAGCGTCCGCATTACACACCTAAGCGTCCACATATGCACACCTAAGCGTCCGCATTACACACTTAAGCGTCCGCATTTGCACGTTTAGGCGTCCGCATTGCCCGCTTAAGCGTCCGTGCTTGCAACTTAAGCATCCGCGTTGCACAGTTAAGCGTCCGAATTTGCACGCTTAAGCGTCCGCACTGCACATTTAAGCGTCCGTCGCTATCCCCAGCAATTTTTGGAAATGGGACTTCGGAGTGGAGTTCGAGCGTGCCGAGTGAACTTGATATATCGGAATCCCACTCAGACACATCTCCTCTCTTTTGTTTAGTTAAATTCGGTCCCGACTGCGGACGCTTATGTCTGCACTGCTGTATATGCAATTTAACGCGAAATTTTTCCATATGAATGAGAAAAAATGTCGTATAAGTCTTAATACAGGCAACGATGCAAAAGAAATTAAAAGTAATAGATGAAATTAATTATTACACGGAAGTTGAATGCAATAAAACGAGGGAAATTCGAAATCATCCGTAGTGAATGAAAAAGGGAAAAGCGGTGGAAAGAAGGAGGGTGCAATAATGACGGAAGAAGGATTAAAAGGGGAGAGAATTAATTAATTACGAAGCTCACGCAGCCGGCAGCGGACAGGGAAAGAAGCAGTGGCCGGGATTAACGTCGGAACTCGAAAATCAGAAAGGGATAGAAGTTTCCAAAGGTATGCGTCTGCTTGTCTCCACTGTGATATTGCAATTTCACGAATTACAGTTCTCTTGCGAAAGAAAAAATATTTTAAAGGAACGTATATAAGGTGGATTGAAAGTAGGGTTAAACGACCGATAGTCTATCATTTTTCATCGTTACAAATGTTATGTTTTACAAACAGAGTATGCACCAAATCAAAAAAAAAGCATCACTTGGTTTTCTAAGTCATAATTTGTAGCTGTAAATTTTCTTCACAGGATTATTTTTTTTAAGTTGGATTTTCGCAAGGATGGCCCATAATGTAGAAAAGTTGAAGATAAACGAATTACTTGGAGATTTTCGAAGATCAAGATTCTCGAGATTTTCCCCCAAATCTGTTTAATCACCTCAATGTGAAATATTTTTGCATAAAGTCTACTAAAAGTATTTTCTGTAATATTTTACATTGTTTATCACATATATCACGGCGAATAAAGAAGCTAAGCAACCTCAGCAATCCGTTGTACAATTATGAAAACGTAAATTTTTCTGGTCTCTCTTCGGAGACAGACTGGGGAGGAAAGCGAGGAAAAAGAGGAGGGTTTGAAGTACTGGTACAAGAAAGGAATAAAAAGTCCGCTAGAGTATGACGAGAACCCCTTATTAAGGTCCATTAAGCAGTGTTTCCTCTAATTACTTCATTTTTTTTCATAGTCCAGAGCAAGCTACCAGGAGGTCCTCTTACGAACTTTTTACAATTTCAGAATTGAGCAGCATGGTTGTGCAACTAAATTTTCCTATGCTCGCAAACGTTTCTTCCTTTTTCTCTTGTGGTGAACAACGATGATGTAACCGCGTTGCAATGTCCTCCTGGATTATTCTCAGTCCTTCTGTACAAGGGATGCGAGTGTGATTCTGCAAAATGCAAAGTTTTAGTAACTCGAGCACCATGTTGTTCCGTGGTCACATTAGTTTCTCGTTACGTAGAATGGAATTGAGTAACGTCGAATAATAACCGATTTTAATAAAAATTTTCGATAAAAATATATAGTAACACCGCGAAACAGCGTGCTTATTTTAGTTAGGAAGAATTGAAGATCCTTGATCATTTTATACATTATGCGTAAAAGTAAGAAAGTTCAAAACGAACAGACGAATCATTATCGTTGTGTGAAATATAAAACTCTTTGCGATCATTAATCATTTTTGTCCGTATTACTGTTTGCAGCTGGGTTTCTTCACATACTACACAGTAGCGATGGGGGAGGTGAATCCTTCGGGGCCAGTGCCAATCGACAGTGTCTTCATCTATAGACCAGACAAACGTCTCGAGCTCTGGAGGTTCGCGTTTTATATGTTCCTTCATGCTGGGTAAGTGATATTTAAGTTACGAAATATATTACAGTTTTACTACACTGTCTTAATTAGTTTTCCTCTTATATATATAAAAATATATTTACTTTTTAAAGAA